CCACCCATCCATCCATCCATCCATCCATCCATCCATCCATCCATCCACCCATCCATCCCTCCACCCATCCATCCATCCATCCATCCATCCGTTCGTCCATCCATCCGTCCATCCGTCCATCTGTCCATCCGTCCACCCACCCATCCATCCCTCCACCCATCCATTCCTCCGTCCATCTCTCCATCCATCCATCTCTTTCAACTCACCCTCTTCCCCACCTGTCAGTCTATTCCCTTCTATCTGTCCTCACCCCAATGCAGCCCCCACAAGTCTCCTCTTTCCCTTCCTTTTCCTTCCCTCTTGTCCTGTTGGGACAAAGGGAACTGGGTGGCCCCACTTTGGGGTCTGCAGGGGCCACATGCCACCCTTAGCAGAGCAGAGCTGCAGCACACAACCAGGACAGGTGTCCTCGAGGGAAATCAAGCCCTGTCCCACACTGCCTCCCAGCCCAGACCCCATTAACCATGACCCACTAAAGTGATGTGTGCCAGCTGCACCCCAGGAGACTCGCTCGGGATGGGGGATGGATGGGGATGGTGCAGGACCCGCTGCTGGTAAATGCTCATCTGCAAGGCCCCTAAATGTCCCATTCCTTGGCCTGGATGGTGCTGGGTGCTGCTGGGAACGTGTGGCCATGGTGGGGTGGGCTTGGGATGTGGTGGAGTGTGTGAGAAATGAGGTGACCCTGTTCTGAGCAGCCAGGAGGTGTGCCTGCAGGATATGCACACACCTGGGGGGAGATGCTGGCACCAGTGGGGCCAGGATGTGGATGTGAGCGGGATGGGAGGTGCAGGGCATGGGTATCAGTGGGCTGTGGGGAGGGTGGGCTGGGTACAAGGAGATGTGGGGAGGTGGGGTGTGGTGCAGAGACGGGTGGGCAGCGGGTGCAGGACATGGATGTGAGTGGGATGCGGCTGGGATTGGGCAGTGGGACGTGGGATGAGAGCGGCAGTGAGAGTTGGGATGTAGATACAAGACAGCAGTGGGATTTGGGATGTTGACAGCAGTGGGCAGCAGAATGCAGGACACAGATGTGAGCAGCGCGTGGCTGTGAGCCAGCAGTGGGATTTGGGGTGTGGACACAAGCGGGTAGTGGGATACAGGACTTGAGCAGGATGGGGATGTGAGCGCGCAGCTGACTCAGGTGAGGACTTGCTGGGCTGCGGCGGGGGCACGGACCCCATGGGGCTGCAGGCAGCGCTGCCTCAGCACCCGGCGGCAGCTGGGCCGGGCGGTGATTAATGACCCTTATTAGAGTCGTTAATAGGGCCAGGCGGTGCAGCCGGCCGGGGACGGGAGCGCAGCGTGTGGCTGAGCGAGGAGAGGGGCGCGACGCCGGGGCTGAGCCGCTGGGGGGGGCTCTGTCTGGGGGACGGCAGCGGTGTTTGGGTGCTGAGCGCCGTGTCCCCGCAGGCACCATGCGCCCGGTGCGCAGGAACTTCTACGACCCCTCCTCAGCACCGGGAAAGGGCATCGTGTGGGAATGGGAGAACGACAACAGCTCGTGGACGCCCTACGACATGGACATCTGCATCACCATCCAGAACGCCTACGAGAAGCAGCACCCCTGGCTGGACCTCTCCTCCCTGGGCTTCTGCTACCTCATCTACTTCAGCAGCATGTCGCAGATGAACCGACAGACGCAGCGCCGGCGCCGGCTGCGGCGCCGCATGGACCTGGCGTACCCTCTGACCATGGGCTCCATCCCCAAGTCGCAGTCGTGGCCGGTGGGCAGCAGCACGGGGCAGCCCTGCTCGTGCCATCAGTGCCTGCTGGTCAACAGCACCCGCGCGGCATCCAACGCCATCCTGGCCTCGCAGCGCCGCAAGCTGTACGCCGGCACGGGGACGGTGCCGGTGCGGCAGAGCAGCACCTTTGCCGGTGCGACGTTGTGGCCATCGGCGGGCGGCACGGCCAAAGGGGAGGCACCCAGGGTGCCTGCTGGGGCTTTTGGGTGCAGCCAGAGCACGCCCGGCACCGTGCAGCTGCCTGGCCTCAATAACCTCAACCGGCCCGGCACGCAGCGGGGGGCTGGCAGTAGCGCCCGCACCGCGGTGCCCCCCGGGTAAGCTGGGATGAGGATGCATGTGACGGCGCTGAGGTGGCACGGGGTGGGCTCACGGCGATGGGGAGGTGGCACGGAGGTGCACTCAGATTGCTTGGCAGCACCAGCTGTCGCCTCACCGGTGCTGGCACCGTGTCACCACCACCACAGCCGTGCCGTGCCATGCTGTGCCGTGCTGCACTCCTGTGTTGTGCCGTGCAGCTCCATGCCGTGACACACCATGGCTGGTTGTGCCAGTCCACGCCGTGCCATGCTGGCTGCAGCAGATGAGGTGCCAGTCACTGGGGGACTTGTGTCCCTGTTGTCCAGCATGCGGTGGGTCACTCCAGAGCGTTTGTTCCAGTACCACCAGGCAGGTCCTGTGGGGAGCTGTTGTGGCATCCTGCCCTGCAGGAAGGATCTGGCCTCGCGCTGGGAGATGCAGCGGGACACGACTGGGTGGTGGTGGTGACATCCTGACAGTGTCACCTCCGCTTCAGGGTGTGTGCTGCAGGAACACCTGTGGGTCAGGGGTAGCAGGGGCACAGGGAGCATCACACGGTGTGGGGACGTACCTCTGCGTCCTTCCCACTGCCCGCAGTCACAGTGCACAGCCAGACAGAGCTGGGGACAGGGGTGACAGAGTTGCAGAGAGGGGGGGCATGCAGGGTCATCAAGCATGGCGTGTTTCCTTCCTCTGTTGATGTGCTGCTTTCGCTTCCGTGTCCTGGGCCAAGCCATCCTCGTGTCGACACGCAGCCCCCGCGCTGTGCGTCCCCATGGACAGGTAGGAGGGGGCTGGAGGGGTGAGGGCCCCACTGCCATACATGGCCTTGGTGTGGCTGAGGGTGGCCTTGGGAACTGCGGGCAGGGACTGGCAGTAGAGGCAAGGCTGGGTTGTGGCATGGCCTGGGGCCTGGGCCCCTGTTGCAGGGGCAGGAAGGGTCCCCGCGCAACAGACCCTTCCTTGGGGCTGGGATCTGCTGTCTGTGTTGTGGCTGCTGGGTTGTGAACAGGGATGTGGGGGCTCTCCCCATGTCTACACACCCACAACCATCTCTATCCACCCATCCACCCATCCACCCACCCATCCATCCATCCACATACTTATTCATCTCTGTCCTTCTGTCTCTCTATCTGTCTGTCCATCCACCCATTCCCCACCATCCCTGCTCTCCTCACATCCCTGCTGTGTCCTCAGCCACCTTCCCATGTGTCCCCACGACCCCACATCTCGCACCAAGCTGTAGCTGTGCAGCTTTGCACACATGGGTGCACAGCCGAGGAGATGCATGCATGAGTGTACAGGCACCTGCCCAGATGCACTCCTGGCTACCCTAATGACACTGCAGAAAGGACGGGACCCAGGGGACATTCCTCCTGTCTCTTGCAGGGTGCCAGCCCTCCCGGTCAAGAACCTGAACGGCACCGGCCCCGTCCATCCCGCCCTGGCAGGTAATGGATGGGGTCCCACAGAGCACCCATAGGTGCTCAGGGGTCGAGCCAGGGATGGAAGGAACAGACAGACACCCCTGTCCCTGTGCAGGGATGACGGGCATCCTGATGTGTGCTGCTGGACTGCCCGTCTGCCTGACCCGTGCGCCCAAGCCCATCCTGCACCCGCCGCCCGTCAGCAAGAGTGACATCAAGCCTGTGCCTGGGGTCAGCGGAATCTGCAGGAAGACCAAGAAGAAGCACCTCAAAAGGAGTAAGGAGCTGCTGGAGGGGAAACTGAGGCACAGGTGGTGCTGTGGGTTGGGACCTGAAATGTTGGGGGGATGGCCTGAAATGCAGCGTGCCCCCCGAGCCTTAAGGTGATGTCACTGCCCATGGCTCCTCTGTGCCACCTCCTCTCTGTCACTGTCCCCATGCTAGAGGCAGGAGGTGGCAGGGAGGGTTTGGTGGTGGGGGGTGGGGGTTGTCTGACTGACACCCCTATCCATGGCAGGCAAGAACCCAGAGGATGTGGTGCGTCGCTACATCCAGAAAGTGAAGACCCCTCCGGATGAGGTGAGCCGGCATGGCGGGATGGCAGGGCATGGGCACAGAACCTGGTGTGACCCCCATGAGGTGACCCCCGTGCCCCCCCAGGACTGCACCATCTGCATGGAGCGGTTGGTCACCTCCTCGGGCTACGAGGGCGTCCTGAGTCACCGCGGCATCAAGCCGGAGCTGGTGGGCAAGCTGGGCAAATGTGGGCACATGTACCACCTGCTGTGCCTCGTGGCCATGTACAACAACGGCAACAAGGTGAGCCAACGTGGACACGGGGTCTGAGGGCATACGGCAGGGGCTGAGTGCCCACCCTGGCTGTGCCTGCAGGACGGCAGCTTGCAGTGCCCCACCTGCAAGGCCATCTATGGGGAGAAGACAGGCACGCAGCCCCCTGGGAAGATGGAGTTCCACCTCATCCCCCATTCCCTCCCGGGCTACACTGACTCCAAAACCATCCGGATAGTCTACGACATCCCCACCGGCATCCAGGTGAGCCCCCCGCAGCCCCCACCCCAGGGCTGGGTGTCCCCACGCCACTGCTCACCCCTCTGCTGTCCTCACCAAAGGGTCCAGAGCACCCCAACCCTGGCAAGAAGTTCACGGCACGCGGCTTTCCCCGGCACTGCTACCTGCCTGACAACGAGAAGGGCAGGAAGGTGAGCGGCTCCGTGTCCCCGGGGGTGGCACAGGCGGGGATGTGGCCATACGGATGGGGACATGGGGGTGGCCGCGCCGTGGGGTGGGATGCAGCAATGGCCGTCCCCCAGGTGCTGAAGCTGCTGATCGTGGCGTGGGACCGGCGGCTCATCTTCACCATCGGCACCTCCAACACCACGGGAGAATCAGACACGGTGGTGTGGAACGAGATCCATCACAAGACCGAATTCGGCTCCAACCTGACGGGTCACGGCTATCCCGATCCCAACTACCTGGACAACGTCCTGGCCGAGCTGCTGGCGCAGGGCGTCTCCGAGGCCACCCTCAAGGACTGAGCCCACGGTGAGGGGCTCCCCGCCGTCCCCTCGGCCCCGTGTCACCGTCCCTGCAGCTTCGCCGCCGGCCCCCCGTGGGCTCATCCCCCGGTGCCACCCGCCGCGTGTCCCCGTCCCCTGCCCGGCCTCCAGCAGCGCGGTGCTTTCCTCTCCGCCCACCCGGTGCCCCACGGAGCCGCGTGCAGCCGGTGCCATGTGTACGTCTCTGTGTTACGGAATACACCGCAGCGTCCCGGCGTCCCCGCGTCACCCACTCGCGTCCCCGTGCCGCGCCGTGATAGGGAAGGGTGCTGGCTGGGGTTGCACTGGGGTCTGTCCTCCGTGGGCGCTCACAAGAGCTGCCAGCGCTGCACACACACGCACGCGCGGCCCGGCGCTCCACGGACACGTCTGTGTGAGTGCGAGCACCCCGTGTCCGCGGGGTGCCCTCGCCGCGCCGCCTCGTCTCTCTGTGGGCAGAGGAGAGCGGCGCGGACTACAGCTCCCAGAATGCTTTGCGGCGCGACGCTGGCTGGCCTTGGCGGCGCAGGGCATGCTGGGAGCTGTAGTTCTGTTCACGTGGCCGTGGCCGCGTCCGTCTCCGTGGCCGTGGGAGGGTTCGACACCCCGTCACCGCGAGCGAAGGCTTCGTGGGCCGCATCCAGATCGCGCAGCACCGCCCGCAGCCGCTCCGCGACGGCTCCACCTGCGGCCGCGCAGAGGCAGCATTCCCACCCGCGACGCCCGGCACCCACCCGTGACACCCACTGCCCTTCCCGTCCCACCCCGCTGTGTTTCCTCCCACCTCTCCTCCTCCCCGACATCGGCACGCCTCGTTTGGCGGCGTGCCGGGTCGTGTGCGGGGGGTGTGCGTGGCTGTGCGCATCCACGCGTGTCTCCGTGCGTGCATTCGGGTGCGCGCGGCTGGGAGCGTGCGTGAATGCAGCCGAGGGCCGGGGCCTCGCGTGCGTGCGGCCGTGGGGGTTTGCTGTCCCCTGGTGGAGAAAGCACGGCTCGCAGCTGTGCGTGTGCGTGGTGTGCACATGTGTGCGTGCTTGTGCACGTATATTGGGCACACGTGCAACCGTGCATGTGCAACAAGTACATGCATGCGTGCAAGTGTGCATGCAAAGCCCGTGTCCATGTGCCTGTGTGTGTGCATCTATGTGTGCACATCAATGCAGCTCGCCCCCCATAACCCCCCCCCATCCCCATTCTCTCCTACCTCCAAGCTTCAGCTCTGAGCTCTGCACTGCCACGCTGCCCTCGGGTTCTGCCACCGCCTCCCTGCAGGACGAGGATGCTAAGTGAACCCGGGGGAGGATGACACCCATGGGTGCCTCCCCCCTGGGACGCAGCCTCACCACAGCCGTGTCCCTGCACGCTGGAGGTGCCCATAGAGGCTCTGTGCCGCCGCCGCGGGGTCCAGGGGGTCACTCCACTCATCCAATGCCACCGCGCTGTGGGTCCGGCTGCAGCCAGGAGCTATCGAGAAGAGCGGGGTTGGGTGGAGGGGAACCACTGGGGACTCCCTCGTGTCCCCTCTGTCCCCATTACCGGCACGGTTGGGCTGCAGACAGCAGGTCCAGCGGGCGGTGCGGAAGGTGCCGGGGTGGCAGGTGGGCAGCATGGCCCCGTTGGCACTGCTGGCCTGGCGCAGAGCCCACAGCCACTGCCACAGCTCTGGTGTGCTCTGTGGGGACACAGCGGTGGCACCCACCCATGATGCTGGCACCCATCGTGTTGGGCAGCACCACAGTTCCACGTGCAGCATCCCCAGGGTGGGCATAAGGTGGCACGGGGACCCTGAGGGGCAGTTTGATGTCACAGGTGGGAGTTGGTGGGGTGGTGGCACTTGGGAACAAGGCTAGTATCACAGTGACCCCAATGTGGGCAAGGCTGGTATTCCAGTGACCCAATATTGACCTCAGTACAGACAGAGCTGGTACCCTAATGACCCCAGTGTAGAACCCAGTACAGGCAGGTACACCTCATTAACCCAGTACAGATAGGGGTGTTACCCATTGACCCTAGTGTATATAGGGCTGGTACCTCAGTGATCCTACTACAGATATTACTGGATGCCCTAGTGACCCCAGTATAACCAGAACTGATAGCCCAGTGAACCCCACTGCAGATACAGCTGCATACCCTACTGATCCCAGCAGTGACCCCGGTACTACTAAAATCTGATACCCCAGTGTTCCCAGTACAGCAGGACTTGGGACTGAGGCTGCCCCCATTGCCCCCACACAGCGGCTGCTGGGTGCTGGGGTACTGGGTGGCGGCAGCCTGGAGTGTTGGGGTCCCAGTGGTGCTGGGATGGGGATGTCCACACCTTACACTGGATGTAGGTGGTGCGCAGCTGCCCGGTGCCATCCTGCGCCACCACCTGCATGACGTGGGGCTGCGGGAACGTGCCCTCATCCACGCGCTCCACTGCCTGTATGTGCCCCACTGGGATGCAGCTGTGCTCCTGAAGACCCCAGAATGCTGCACGTCACTACACCCACAGCCTGGCACCCTGCAGCAGGGTGGGAGGACAACAGACAACACCTACCTGGCACTCAGGGGACTTGGAGTAGGACAGAGCCTGGGCACTGAGCCAGAAGTACCGCTTCTTGAAGGCGAAGCGGGGCAGCAGGGAGGGCTCCTCGGCCTCCCGTGCGTGCAGGAAACCCTCCTTGATTGTGGCCGAGGGACTGAAAGGTGCCACTGACACCATCCCCTCGCCTGCTGTGGCTGTAGCCATGGCACGGGGACAGTGACATCAATTTGGGGTGCCACCATCACCCCAAAAAGCACAAAGATGCTTCCATCCCTTAGGATACAGGACATATCCCCAGGATGGGATGGGATTCCATGGTGCCCACCATGCCTGCTCACCCTGCGTGCTGTCCACCTCGATGAGGCTGTCCAGGAAGGCTCTGACACGAGTGATGCTGGGCAGCAGGACGGTGTTCAGTGGGGCCATCCAGGGCTCCTTGCCCGGTTGCAGTCCCAGGTTGCCGATGCTCTGCAGCGCCTGCCCATGGGAGTGGGATTTGGGGAGGAAAATGGGGAGACGGAACAATGCAAGGTGGTGGGAGCCAACCGTGGCTGTGCTCAATGCACTCATCCCCAGTGGGAACAAACCAGCTTAAAGCACGTGGCATGGGGGAGGAAAGGCTCTGCCCTTCTTGGGATACTTGTTCCTTCCTTGGTCACTGTCCTCTGAGATCCCTCTCCCTCCCCAGGGTCTTCCAGCATCCCTGGGGTCCCCTTCCCAGCTTGGCATCTTCATCCCCTCTGAGGTCTTCATCCCTTTTGGTGTCCACATCCTTTGTGCTCCCCATCCCTCCCTATGATCGCTGTCCTGCCATGGCATCTGTGTCTCTCCTTGGTCCCACATCTTCCTTCAGGTCTCTGTCCCTCTTTGGAGTCCCATCCCTCCCTGGTACCCCATCCTCCTGCAGGGTCTCCATCCCTTCTCTGGGTCCCCATTCCTCCTGGTCATCCCAGTTCCTCCCTGTCCAGGGTTTCCCTGGCCCTCTGAGGTCTCCGCCCACCCTGGGGTCTCCATCCCTTTTGGTGTCCCCATCCCTTCTGATGTCCCCATTCCTCCTATGGTCCCTGTTCTTCGGTGGCATCCCTATCCCTCCTTGATCCCACATCCCTCCTTCAGGTCTCCGTCCCACCTTGGTGCCTCATCCCTGCCCCAAATCCCCTCCCTCCCCGAGGTCCCCCCACCATGTCCTCGTTCCCCTGAGCACCTTGGCGAGCAGCAAGAGAGTGCGCCCAGTGCGGGGCTCAGCATGCTGCTCCCTCAGGCCAAAGAGCTTCGGGGTGAGGACGGCAGGGGCGAAGAAACGGAGGAAGAGGAACCCACTGATGGCAATGTACTGCACCTCCTGCACAAGGACAGAGTTCAGCACCGGCACTGCGCTGCCCTCCCAGCCCCACAGGGATCCCCACCTCGTGCTGCGGTGAGGGGAAGCGCTCCTCCACCCGCCTACAGAGCTGTTTGAAGGCCACCCTCATCAGGAGGGGGCACTTGTCCACCGAGCCCACGATGGCATCCACCATGTGCCCCAGGTAGCCCTGCAGCAGCTCCAGGCTGCTCTCTCGCACCTGGGCTTCTGACAGGGACCCCTTGAAGGAAATCCTCCTGTGGAGACACCAGCAGCTCGTGACCACTGAGAGGACCCGTGGGTGACACCAAGATGGAGACACATCCCCACACTCGCCTGCCACGGCTCAGCTCCATCTTGCAGGGGTCCAGTTCCACGTACTTCTTCTCCTCGAAGATGCGGTTCACCACCGGCTTCAGGACCGCGTGCAGGTAGGGCAGCCCCACTGCCTGCATGGGGCAGGAGGTCACCACTGCTGTCCCCACACTGTCCCCAGCACTGTGTCATGTCCTGAAGCCATCACAAGGTGCTGGAGTGATGTTTCCTCCTGGGCTCACCTTCAAGAACTGCTCCACGGACTTGGAGGCCAAAGAGTTGGAGCGGAAAAGGGTATTGGGGTCCGCTGGGAGGGAGTCCACCATGAGCCATGGGGTTGCCCCAGCTGTCCCCAGTGTGCCCAACCCTTTGGTGGCCTCACAGCAGGCTTTGGGGCACCCTGGCAGCCTTCAGGGTGGTTTCCCTTCCAGTTCCCCACTGAGGGTCTGCAGGAGATGCTCCAGTCCCTGCATTTACTGGTCTGACCCCAGCACTTACTGGTTCTGGTCAGCTCACGGGTGATGACATAGTCCAGGAAGGGCACAGCCAGACCCTGAGCCAGGAAGACCTTCACCAGCTTGGTGGCCACATCCTGCCTGCTGTCCCCTGAGGTCACCTCCTCCAGGACAGCCAGAGCCGTGCTGGCTGCGGGCTGTGAGGAGGGCATGGGGATGTCACACACCATGGGGACAAATGGTACAAGTGTGTCCCCAGCCCACAGAACCCACCTGGCCTGGGGAGCGGAGGGGCTCGGCCAGGAGTTGGATGAGGGGCTGGTAGCAGTGCTGGGGCAGGACTCTGTCCTCCAGCAGCCGCAC